GATAGAACTTACTATTTTAATCTTTAGGTGTTTTAACACATATAGATTACATTTTTCCCACAGCTCACATTTTAGTAATAATTATATTCTTCAATTGGTTTATGAGATGGTAAAATAGAAAAAACACGAATCCCTCAAAAGCCCAAAACGGCAAAATGTTGCAGCCTCGGTTTGATTGAGTCTGTTCATGTACGGTACTGTCAAGTGCAAAAAATACCGTCCACGCCCCCTAGCACCGGCTTAAGCAGAATTCAACAATTAATATGAAATGGTACAATTTTGAATTTAGAAACATTCGCAGATGTGTTAATACGGCGGCTATCATGGAACCTTCATTTTGACACGTCTGTGCCATTCCATGTAAAGAGGCGTAAGGTCCCCAAGTAATAAAAAGGAGGAAACAAGGGGCGGAACTAAACAAAATTTAATTTTGAAAGGGGATCAGAGGTGATGAAATAGATAAATACAGAAGCCCTAAAGAAAGCCCAACACGGCAAAATTGAAAATGTTGCAGGCTCGGTTTGATTGAGCCTGTTCATGGACGGTACTGGAAAGTGCAAGTTACCGTCCACGCCCCCTAGCACCGGCTTAAGCAGAATTCAACATTTAAACGTGAAATAGTAAAATTTTGAATTTAGAAACATCCGCAGATGTGTTCATACGGCGGTTATCATGGAACATTCAATGTGACACTTCCGTGCCATTCCAGCCCGTGTATCATAGATAAGACGTCAAAAGGCAAAGTTAAAAAACAAGCAACATATTCTAAGGGCGATTCAACATTATTCAAGTAGGCATATTGGAACCACCCAATTAGAAAATGCCAAGTATTTAAAAATACAAATACCAAAAACACAACAATGATGTCGCGCTGAACGATCTTAAAGGATCGGAAATAAAAAAATCTCTGATTGAATGTACGGGCGACTTTTGACAGCCTCCACACGGCACAAACACCGCTGATGTGACGGTAATATAGAGAAAATAAAAATCCCTAAAACTTATTCAAAATTGCGGTATATGTGATTTGCCTTAAAAACGATGGTTGACAGAAATACATAGCAAAATAATTGAATAGGACAGGATATGAATTTTGTTCGGACGTCGGGAAAACATTCAAACTGGTTTTCAATAATCACTTAAAGATCGATTACGGTGTTGCACACAAAAATGAGTTTCAATTAAATTCCGAGTATATTTCTTCACAAATCTTTGCATGTCATTCGATTTAAATGTTTAAGTGGATTTATGTAAGAATTAAATATGTTTTTGTTTTTCGCCTTTTGAGCAGTCAAGGGAGTTCCTTAAAGTGTCCCATATCATCGGAAATAATTGCTTTCCGCCTCCCACAGTTTCCTTCAACTAGTTGAGAAAATACATGTGACACACCTGATGTTTTGCCAAAGTCTACGATTATTTCCCATTTTTCCCGGTACAAAACGAAAACAGTAAACGCAGGGGGTTACTAATCATGGTTTCAAAATAAATCAGTCTATAACAGCAAAATTATTAAGGAGAGGATGCAAACTTTACTGAGGTTGGTAAATCATACACACGACTATACGACTTGAACCCACTACCAACCCCACACTCGCCTGTTTTGTTGTATTTTGGGGACTTTTGAAAATATCAATTTCTTGACCAACTTGTAGGCCTAATAGTAGCTACGCCAAAAAATAATGACTATGTAAATTTGGAAAGGTTGTGTGAATGCTATAAAGTTATTAGCCATTTATTTACAAAAATTAGTCAATATTTGGGCACTCGCAAAATACACAACACCGGTCAAAGAAGACATGGCCATTTTGTTGGTCTATTATTACAAGAAGCAAATTATTTGATATATAACGAGGAGCAATTTATCCTTTACTTAATAAGTAGCAAACCATCCATTATGTTAAAAGACGCAATTTATCCGTAATATAATATGAAGCAATTTATCCGTAATATAGTATGGAGCAAATCAAATAAAATAAGAAGCAATTTATCTGCAATATCACAAGAAGCAATCTATTGTAGCAATCGTTTTCAATAATACATATATTTAATTAACAAGTTATATATTAAAAGATTTAAATGTTGAAAGTGTAGATTCAAAATATTATAAGTTCTATTATTATCAATAAAAAAGTTGCTGCTTTAAACATGAACACATTATTAGATAAAACCAAGCAGAAACCAAGATAAACCTTTTTTGTTATTATGTAAAGGGTTAGTTGTTAGTCACTCTGATTATAAAATTCTCATGGCGACTTTTCAGCTTTACCGGGCGGAGTATAAGCTTAGGTGCTCATTCATGTAATACTTCAGGCACGTGCGGGCATCCGAATAAAATCACAGGCCTTTAGGAAGGTAGCTGGATAATTTCATCGCATGAAAGAATCTGAAAAACCCCTGATGGGACTAAAACCGAAAGCGATGAGGGTGCAGTTGATTTTTGAAGCAGCAGTAATCACAGGACCATGGCAGCCGACAAAGAAAATAACCTGCTAATACAGAATACTGCAATTACATAAGCAAAAACAAAGTATGTTGTTCTTCCTCCGAGAGGTAGGAGATCGTTAAATGGGAAATATTTTTTCCGTAAAAGAAACCTCCTGCGAAGTTGTCAGCAGCAGCATACATAACAGACAGTAGGATTGGTGGCCTATCCTTTTTGGTTTGTAAATAAAGTCATATATTTATATCTCTATGGTTGTCATTTATATAATCCAAAAAAGGGGGAAAGTGGTACCAATTTTGACTATTAAAGAGCGGAACATAACAAACCTTCGATGTTTTGAATCTACATACGGTCCCCGACAGAGAATCTTTACATAATCAGATATGTATCATGTAAACAAGTTGTACAATTATTATCTACTTATCTACTATAAGCAGCGCTTTCAAGTATACATTACTTAAATGTCACATAGCACTGAAAAAAAATCAAGTGCCGAAATTATGTAGGCCTATATGTCAGTGTTTATTAGTAAGCTTTTTTTAAATTGAATCGGTCAAGAGCGACCAATTTAATTTAATAAATGCTTACTTATAAACACAAACAAATTTAGTGTGAACAAATTATTTTTATAAACTATGGATTTACTAGACTGATTAATAAAGTTCGATTTAGCAAAGTAAATGTGTTATGATTCATTTGAAATAATACAATTTTATATGACAAAAATAAGTTCAAACACTAAATATGTGTATTATCACTTTATTCCATCTACAGCCGTTGTTAATTAGGATAATCTAAAAAGGGTTTACGTTTTCTTTTGCGTCCGGTAACATTTGCAGAAGCACGAGGGAGCACTTTAATAATTGATTTAATAATTCCGAGGGTTTCTTTATATGTTAAAGCACGGAAATAAGTAAACAAAATACGTCTGATTTGGTCAATCCGCAATTCTTTTGTTTTTCCTTTATCTTTTTTGAGAGGGTGGGGGTCTGTTACCGGGGCCATTATTGCAGTAACCCATTAACTTGCCGTCACGTGTCAGCTTTTAACTAAAACGTGCAACATCGGCGCTTGTTCGCGTGATTTTATCTTTAAATGCATGATTTCCTTTCTGTTTTCTTGCCTGTTTTATAAAGATATATGTATCACTATAACAAAGTATGGTCAGGTACCCGCGACAATATTTAATTAACTATCAAATAGTTATCGGGACTTCACTGATGTCTAAAAACCTAAAAATATAAAGTTTGAATTTTTTACATAAATAAGCTGGGGCATTTTAAACAAACAGACAGATATGCAAAAGATAGTTAAGAAATGTAACTTAGAAATAAGTTGAAATTCGTATTGTTGTGCTTTTCCTAGAATGATTTGAATGAAAAGCGTTGCAAAAGAGTGAGCGATTGATCTGAGAGTTTGCACAAGGGTAATTGGTCTTGATCAACATCAAATTGCAAATTTATCTCGTGATCTCAAAATCTCATTGGAGTCCCTTTCATGTCATTACCTTAAAGCTTTTTATTTATTTATCTATTTATTTTGATTTATTTATCTATTTATTTATTCATTCATTTATTTATTTATTTATTTATTTTTATTTATTTATTTATTTATTTATTTATTTTAATTTATTTATTTATTTATTTATTCATTTAATATTCATTTATTTATTTATTTATTTATTTATCTATTTATTTATTTTATCTATTTATTTTATCTATTTATTTTTTTATGCTGTATTAATATTTTTAAGAAAAGGTTACTCAATGGACAATTATATGCTTCTTTTTTTTGTTTATTTTTTATATTAATGCAATTACCAGCATAGTATTTTGTATGAAAATCATTGCATTTTTGCTGCTCTTAGGGAACAAATGATTTCACATGCCAGGGGCGTACCTACCGATACGCCAATACGCCAGGGCGTATAAATTCAAGCAAAATTCAAAAAATTGATAAAGTTAGAAATTCCAAAAATGGAATAAAAATCAAGGGGCATAGTGTAGGTCCCTTGAAATTTTAGCTCAAAACTGACTAGATCGATCCTGTGAAGTAATGTACAAAGACATGGAAATAAACGTATAGATTTCAAGTAGCCTAATACCGTAAATACGGTACTCGGCAGTTCTACTTTGTCAACGGGAAGCAACTCTAGCGAAGATGGTTTTTATCGTTGTTTCTATTCGGGATCCGAATGAATGTTTAGCGCTACAAGTTTTCAAGGCGGGAATTTTAAAATGTCTTTTAAAGATGGAGATTTCATTCCGCCCTATCCTGATCCTTTTGGAGATGGAGAAAGCTTCAAAGAAGTTAACAAGAAGCTCGTTCTTTTGACTCAACCATGGAATGATGTGCAGGCCTTTAAATTCCCATCAAGGTAGATTCTAGCTTCTCATTCTACCTATAATTAGAATCTATATAAATAATCAAAAAGTAGCTTTATTCAAATTATCGCGTAAAAATATTCATTTGAGATTTAAATGATTAGCGTGGCCTAACTTGTATGGAGAACAATTAAATTAATAGCTTAGGCCGAATAGTTTAGTCATCTGACGACTTTATAATATTATATACTTAATATCAACTCATTATTTTATATTGGCTATATAGCTCAGTGGATAGAGCGGATGTCTCTCGGTGGTTTCGTAGAATTCAGCTGTCGGTTCAAAACCTTTCAGCGTGATTTTTTTTCTTTATTATATATTTTTTTTTAATATTTTGCATAAGTAGAATCTAGATCTAAATATGATAATTTTAATTTTCAATGACATTCTTGTCTTTTTTTATAGTTTTATAATTCGGTAAAAAATTTTACACTCAATAATTTTTTAACATTCAGGTATGCTAGTGGAAGATTTAGGACGCCACAACCGGCTTGGTTTACGTTTTATAGCTGGCTGAGGTATTCTGTAAAGCTGGATGGGGTCTTTTGTGCCCCGTGTTTTCTATTTTCTGGCTCTGATCCCCGCAGCAAGGCACTGACAACAACTGTAGTTACAGACTGGAGTAACATAAAAAAGATTTTAGATAAGCACGGGAAATCTGATATTCATATCTCTAGTTCAATTGCTGCAGAAAACTTTGTAGCGATACAGAATCGACAACAAAAGGATATTGAGTGCAGTATATCCTCAGCATATAATGCTTTGGTTGAGAAAAACCGAAAAATTATGGCATTGATTGTCGATACCCTTATGCTTTGTGGAAAGCAAAATATTCCAATCCGTGGTCACCGCGAAGATGCTGATTCTGACAGAAAGGGGAACTTTCAAGCACTACTAGAATTTCAGGCTAAAAATAATCCAGTTCTGAAAGACCATCTGGAAAATGGAGACCCAAGGACGCGCTACACTTCTCCAAAGATTCAGAACGAGATAATTGCCATATGTGGCAAACTTATTTCTGATGAAATCGTCACCGAATGTAATCAGTCTCAAATGTTCAGCCTGATAGCAGACGAGGCAACAGACTGCGCTACAATGGAGCAAATGGCTCTTTGTGTGCGATATCTGAAGGACAGCGAGATCAGGGAAGAATTCCTTGGTTTCTCCGAGTGCAAGAGTACCACGGGGGAGGCATTGGCTAACGCCTTTCTTGAAAACCTCAGATGTTTAGGTAATGATTGAGAAATTTGACACAATAAACTGCATAAATAACATTATATCTTTATTTACGACAGTTTAGTATCTAAAATAACTTTCTGAGATCCATATTTAAACACAATTTAAAACTGAAAATATTAATTTCCGTGCCTACTTTGATTTACAAATTAATAAAAGTTTGGCATCTTTACAATGCAGATATTTTTTTCGGGGGGGGGGGGGAGGGGGGGGTCCTTTCACTCAACCTGATTTAACAAATCTCTTTTGAACATTTTTTTTACATTTTATAGTATATTATTGTATGCAATATAAAACAAAGATATTAAAAGAACAGTTTTTAACAGTTTATAGAAAATCTCTTTAAAAATGCTGTTTAAATGAATAATAATAATAATAATAATAATAATAATAATAATAATAATAATAATAATAATAATAATAATGATAATGATGATGATAATGATGGTGATGAATATTAAGGCTGAAATAAGGATGATAATGTTGATAATAATAATTAAGGTTATTATAATTGTAATGATATGATTACTTCTTTATTCATACAGGAGTACAGATGGACTATATAAGGGGTCAGGGATACGACGGGGCCTCAAATATGTCCGGGTTATATAGAGGTGTCCAAGCCAGGATCCGCCAACAATATCCTGAGGCAGTTTATACCCATTGCAAGGCCCATTGCTTGAACTTAGCAATTGTCCACGCATCCAACTGCACGTATGTTAGAAATATGATGGCCACGGTGCAGACAGTAGCGTTTGCTTTTAACATGTCCGCAAAACGTTTGCTAAATTTTCAAGAAACTCTCGGATGTGACCCCACCAGCCGTGAAGAAATGGAAGAGCGACAGAAGCTTCAGTCGTTATGTGAGACACGTTGGGCAGCTAGGGCCGATGCTCTTCACACGTTTTTATGCTCATACAGGTATCACTGTGTTTGATACATTCAATATAAGCATAAATTATGAATTCTTTGCCGAGATGCTTTAATGACAAATGTCTTACATTAAACACATATCTATTGAAATAAAACATGTGTGTATTAAATGATGAAATATTTACGCATTTAATTATTTTATATATATTTATATATGTTTGATTCAAATTCAATTTTGTTTAAGAACTGTAGTAACATCACTGGAGGACATGGGTACGAATGGCGACACGAAGGCAGCTGCATATAGTCTATCCGTGCTAAAGTTTGATTTTATTATCACCCTTGTAGCAGCGGAGCATGTTCTTGCTGCACTTGTTGGACTATCAACCATGCTACAGCAGAAAGCCTGTGACCTCTTAAGAGCTGCCACAGAAACTAGAGTGGTGATTGCTACATTGAAGGCAAGTTGGTCATTTTATTAATATTCTTAATGATACAAGAAATTTAAGTGATACGATCTATAAATAGAAATGTTTTCTTTCTTTATACTGTATGAGATCTACATAGCTCACATGTACACCTATGTTCACAAATACAGCAAGAACTTATGAAGTCAAATGTTTTTATCAGAACGGATTATATTTCTTATGATAAAATAGACTCATTTACATGTGAAGGTGTAGATATAGTCATGAGGATTGATTTTTTATGTCCCACTTTGTATTACATAAAGGATATACCGGTATATGTTTGTTTTGCACAAACCTAAGTGAACACCAGATGCAATATTTTCATGAGTCGCGTAGCCACGAGTGAAAATAGAATACGCTGGTGTTCCCGAATGAAATATATTTCAATCTTATAATTAAAACAAATAATCATGCTTTTGTAATATAGCTCTGTTAAATTTCTCTAAGTTTATTAAATTTTTAACATGATGTATGATGACATCAACTTTCTTTTCCTTTATTTAGGCAAAATGTATATGTATGACGGCATTTTTTTGCCAGTTATTCCATTTACTCATGATATTCTTTTCATCTGCATTCATGTCTTGTCCGGCTACAGTGAAAATTATATTTGTGGTTTATGTTCTCATAATCATCTGATATATTACAGTAAACCTCTGGACAGCATGAAATAAATATGAATCAAACGTAATTTACTTTAACGGTGTTAAAACCGTAATTAGGTACAGCAAAGACTTGTCACTTGTATGGAGAATATTTCAGGTTAGGTAGTTTGCACTGAGCCTCAACAGAACGATCAATATTTTATAAACGCTCTAGATATCTTTCTTATAGACATAACTGTGACGCTTTGATATTTTCGAATTATCTTACAGAATGAAAGGGGCGACACTGCTGTTTGGGATTCTTTGTACCAGAAAGCTGTGGATCTTGCTTCGAATGTAGGAGTCGATCCCTGCATTCCAAGAAACGTCGGACGTCAGAGAAATCGCCCAAATGGCCCAAGTGATACATCATCGCAATTCTGGAAAATTAATATGTATTACCCTTTTCTTGACCATCTGTTAAGCTGGAGAATCGCCTTTTACAAGCAAATCCTAGATACAACGCACAAATGCTAATCCCAAGTCAGGTCAGTAAATGCTTTTATATTGACATTTTTTCATATTTATAATAGATCAATAAACATTGATGTATAGACGATTTTTTGTTAATTTTGAGTAAATATGCTATTACACTGAGAAGTCAGAAAATTGCAATATAGCACGTGTGAAAATGTGAATATTTTTTCACTTCTATGTGTGATAAATAGCATATTCATTAGAAACTAACACATTTTCTTTTCAAGATGCCTTAAAATGTAGAAAAAACGCAATTTTCAATTACTGATTTGAACGACGCTCGTCAGACATTCAACGTCTGTGCGAAAAACGCTATTCAAACAAACGTATTTAAAGCTTATAGTTAACATTGCGGTGAAACGTTTAACTTTTTTAGAGAAATAATGACATTTGAATCGAGTACCGAAGCTTATCAGGGCCCCCACGTAAGTACAAGTTTCACGTCCTTCTTGTTTTGACCAAAAACATTCCATGAAGTGAAGACGTTATATGATAAATACGTAATACGTATAAGTTTTTAATCATTCCCAAAAAACTTTTGTTGAATTACCTGAGCTATTTGTCAATGCGAGTAAACGTCATTTCGTCTTACTAAATATTTCAGCAAAGTCGTGAAATCACGAAGTTTCGACAGGATTTTTGCCGGAGAGCATATCGAGAAAAGTTCACTTGCAATGCCTTAAATCTTCTCATCTTTGTCAGTAAATTTTATTGAGACATTCGAAAACATCTTATCAATGCGAATAAAAAAAAGTTAACTTAGCGTAAAACATCTTATCAACTGTAGGCCCTGATAAGCTTCCGTACCATTAACAAGTTAATTTACAAAATTTTTGGAATCATGAAAATTGAAGCGTACACCAAAACAAGTTCGGTCACAGTGTAAATGATATACTGTTGGTGATGTGGATTTTAATTCACCAATAAAACCCAGTATCTCTCCAGTTAGCATTTTAATAGAAAATATTGTATGAAATTGGGCATTTTATATGTTTCGTTGTGTGAACAGTACTGAGTGATGCTGAGAGAAATTGTATGTCGACATATATTTTGACAAATACTTTATCACATTATATTGTAGCTTTCATGATAATTTGTAAACATGTTTAAATCAACTTTATTCTTGATTACTAAGACATGTACTGCAGATATGAAAATGCTCATTGAATCCATTACTACTACATATATAACGAGGAAATCTTCTTTTAACATTATTTCATTTAAAGAATTGATTCTTTGCTTAAATTGGAATATTGAAATTATCGATTATTTTATAGGTGTGGTCTTCCTGTATCACAGTGCCGAGAACTATATAGAGGGGTCTACAGACATGCTTGGATGTTGACGAAGATACATTCCTCCGTGAATGTGTCTTGTGGAGGACGTGGTGGACTGATCCAACACTAGCTGCCCAACGAGAAACGACTCCAGAAAACTTAAACGGATTCATTAAAAAGTTACAAGTGAAGCATTGTATCCAAATATCAGGAAATGCTTGGCACTTCTTATGGTAGTGCCGGTCTCTACCGCTACTGCAGAAAGATCGTTCTCTACAATGCGTAGAGTTAAATCATGCCTCAGGTCAACCATGACGACTGAGAGGCTGTCCGGCTTGGGACTTCTGAACATTTACCAGGAAAAGAAAGCTTGATGCTGAACGTATTGTCGATATTTTTGCGGCTAAAAAAGAAAGAAGACTGGCTTTGATATTTAAAAGTGTAGATTATAACAGAGATGTAAATGAATAAATAAATAAATAAAAACAAAAAAATTATTATAAAAAGAATGAATGAATAAATATATAGTAAATAGTAATGAAGAAGGAAAAATAAAATCTAAATCGTTTGTTGTAATTTTGTTGTAATACGTTTAATACTTTTTTATTATATTGGTTAAGTTTTAGTCAGGGAAAGACATTTGAGAAGCTATTTTATGGCATTTCAGCCTTTTAAAATGATGCTTAATCAAATTTTTTCGGGGGCCTCCGGCCCCCTGAACCCCTGGCCAGGGCTTTGCCCTGGACCCAACGGGGGCCCTAGCGGCCCCCTGGCCCCCAACTTTTATGGGCGTATTCTTCAAATACCTCCAGGTACGCCCCTGCATGCAGCGCTTCCTTTTTCTTTCTTTTTTTCTTCATTAGATAACATGCTCTAAAACGGTTATTTAAACGATATGTTACTCATGTTTACAATTTTTAAAAAGAAATTCGTTTCTAGGACATAATGTACCTTTAAATTACTTTATAGCAGTAAAATGAATTTATGTTTATTTAATTTGTAATACAGTAGTCACATAACGTTATGACTAATATTTCAGAAAACATCGTGCTTATATAAGAATAACGATGAAATCAACAAATCTGTTGTGCACTTTTATAGTAACAAATTATAAAATAAAATTTAAAACCAGTCCAACAACAAAAGTTGGAAATGCCCCTTGTGGTTGCAGGCCACCAGAAATATGTTTACAATCTTTTGTAATTTAGCATCATAAATATAATAATCTGGTTGTAAGTATTATATAAATATCCTTGAGGACCTTTTAAGACTCTTAAAACGATACATATTGATATATAGTTATTTCTTTGCACCAACACTTTCATGCTTTACCGACTGGAGGATAGCCTTGTGCCGCACTCTATGCAAGGTACGAACAAGCACATGGAAACACATGTTATGTAAGCTAGCTGGATAGATTTCCTTACATAACGAAGTCCCTAGTCAATAGCAAGGTTCAAACCGTGAGAGGCAATGGGTTTGAAATCAAAGAACTTAACAGCTCGGCCACGGGCGCTTAAGTGTATATGATATTAAATTGACAATCATCAAGCTGAGTCTACGATTTTCAACTTTTTTTGTTCTGTTTGCCTTGCTGTCGAAGGACAATTTCGTCAGATTTTTAGGCAAGAAGAGGCTCCATTCAAGTGTTCAATTTGGCTTAAATAGAAGGCTCCATTCAAGTGTTCAATTTGGCTTAAATAGAATTTAATTTAAAGTTTTCACAAGATTTATTGAATAAAAAGCTAAAATATCTTACTGTCACCGTATAACTTTTGTTCTGTTAATTCTCATCTGACAAGGGCATAGAGTGCATTAACTTACACAAAATATATTATTCATTTGGCTGGTCTTTTTCCTGTTTGTTGAATTCTTACTTACACCTTGTTTGGCTAAAAGTTCACAGACCTGATCGTTGTCTGCTTTATTCCTAAACATGTACTATTTTCAATTATTGGTCATTCACCTTAAAAGTAGTCAATCTTCAACCCAGTTGAGAGACAGAATAATTATCAAAATGATATTTTAAATAAACTAAATTTTTCTTGTAACACCGTTTTAGACTCAGAAATATCTGAAAAGGAAAATCTGGCTGCTGTTGAAGAATTGAAAAACCACAAATCTGCTGGGGTTGACGGCATAAAAAACGAAATGATTAAATACAGCATTTCATTTATTCTTCCGTGTTTTAACAAAGTTGTTTGATATGATTCTAACAAATGGTATCTATCCTTCAGATTGGTAAATTGGCTGTATAAACACACTTTTTAAGAAGGGTAAACCTGATGATCCCTCTAATTATAGGGGTATAACCATTATTCCATGTGTTGCCAAACTTTTTTACTGTTTACTAACCAAAAGGTCACAGTCATTTATTGATAGAAATAATGTTATAAACCCAGTGCAAACAGGC